GACTAGGTGCGTTCTACATGGTCGCCCTGAGAACAAGACCAAGTTGCGACAACGAGGTCAACCCACTTCTGAGAGTTGTAATTTGCTTTTGGGCGCCCAACTGCCGGCATTCATAATGGCCTTCAATCTCGCCGCCATGCAGACCCAAACGACAAGATGGCTGAGTGGATTTCAGTCTTCCTGCGCGGCGGTTTTGGGCTCATTCGGCAACTGTTAAGCGGCATAAACCGAAAGGAGATGGGTCAGCCAAAGCAGAATGGGGCATCAAAATGGGTCCTTGATTATCAGCCCAAAACGAAACAAAATAACGCGAAAAAGTCTAATTTTACACACTTGGTGTCCAGCGTGAATAGGCCGAAAGTTGGGCTTAAAATCCCCCAAGCAGATGCTCAGCATCCAATAACCTCAACTTTAATGGAAAGTTGCAGGTTGGTTTTAGGATAAAAAACCTCCAAAACACATACACAAAACGCAAACAGAGAAGCCCCGAGGTAGGCGGTCTTTACGCCCAGCATTTAGTAGCAAGCTAACTCAAATGGGCTGAAGGAAATAAACCAAGCAAGTGATTCTAGACCACTAGACATATTATATTCGCACTCAAGATGGCAAAAGTAGTAGTATGTGTCATCTCTTATTCATTCAATGACCCCTTTGTAAGGTATTCCTGGATCAGACACTTAAAGTGAGTCTTGTACTGCGATAAAAACATGACTTTCTTACAGAAGTACTCCTTCAATCCTACGCTTATCGTCAGATGGGATATGACAATGATAAAAGTTTAATATAATCGGACGAAAACATAATTACGTATATTGTTAGAGGGACCTTCATTTCGTATGAAAGTACATGAAGAAGAGATTCGTTGGTCGATCTCACCAGATGAGTACGGATGAATCTCGTTGCACTGCAGCCGGTTGGATTGTATACGATATTCATGTTGACGCAGTCCACCAGTATCCTCCCTCGTTTCGGGTGAAAACGTGCTGAGCTTTCGTCCATCATATGATGGACATCGTCAGAGCTGGGTGTCATTC